TGCTAGGGGCAGTGACAAATCTCCCCAAAATCCTTCTCATAGGATGACTCCCGGCCAGAGTTTCAATCTCTGATAACCTCTTCCCAGCTAAGTCGACCTCAAGAGTCCTCGAGGATTTTTCTCCAGTAAACTCGCTACCTCTCCAATAGACTGAGCAACATGGTTTATTTTCCCAACAAACGGCAGGATTTTCCAGCTCGAGTTTACCTCTCCGACTGCTACAGATCAAAGGACCACAACTCCTCTTCCCCAGTAGACTACTCTACAATCCCTAGAAAGTTACTGTGAAGCCTGGACCCAACCAGACATTAGTTCAACTTCGACTCCCCAGTAGAGCAACGGACAACCGAGACTCCTGAACTTTTCCTTAAGCAGGAATCAACACTCTCCACAAAGTTTTCAACTTTCCCCAGCGGAGTTCTCCTCAACAAAACAGGGATCCTCAATGGAAACCTTCTAAACAAAGTTTGAAGACATACTTACTCTTCAACAGCAATCCGGGATTTAATAACTCCCCAACACTTGTCAAGGATTTATTCTCCAAGACAAAATTACATTTCAACAACATTCATAGCATAGGCATACAAAATACAAATAACATAAATCTCATTTATTTTGGGTACATCATTACGCAATGCATACATAATGACATTGCATATAACTAACTCTTTACCTTTTCAGGAAAGATCGATCGACAGGTAAAGGTTATCATTACCTTTTGGAGTAGCAGTTGTCAAAGATTCCTTCATCATCCTGCTGAGGTTGTAGTCATCCAAGATTCCTTCATCATCCTGTTGAGGTTGTAGTCATCAAAGATTCCTTCATCATCCTGCTGAAGTTGTAGTCATCCAAGATTCCTTCATCACCCTGCTGAGGTTGTAGTCATCCAAGATTCCTTCATCACCCTGCTGAGGTTGTAGTCATCCAAGATTCCTTTATCATCCTGCTGAGGTTGTAGTCATCCACGATTCCTTCATCACCCTGTTGAGGTTGTAGTCATCCAAGATTCCTTCACCCCCTTGTTGAGGTTGTAGTCATCCAAGATTCCTTCATCATCCTGCTGACGTTGTAGTTATCCAGGATTCCTTCATCGCCCGGATGAGGTTGTAGTCATCCAAGATTCCTTCATCGCCCTGCTGAGGTTGTAGTCATCCAAGATTCCTACATCACCCTGCTGAGGTTTTAGTCATCCAAGATTCCTTCATCACCCTGCTGAGGTTGTAGTCATCCAAGATTCCTTCATCCCCCTGATGAGGTTCTAGTCATCCAAGATTCCTTCATCATCCTGTTGAGGTTGTAGTCATCCAAGATTCCTTCATTGCCCTGCTGAGGTTGTAGTCATCCAAGATTCCTTCATCGCCCTTCTGAGGTTGTAGTCATCCAAGATTCCTTCATCGCCCTGCTGAGGTTGTAGTCATCCAAGATTCCTTCATCACCCTACTGAGGTTGTAGTCATCCAAGATTCCTTCATCACCCTGCTGAGGTTGTAGTCATCCAAGATTCCTTCATCACCCTGCTGAGGTTGTAGTCATCCAAGATTCCTTCATCATCCTACTGAGGTTGTAGTCATCCAAGATTCCTTCATCATCCTGCTGAGGTAGTAATCGTCCAAGATTCCTTCATCATCCTGCCGAGTCCGGATACAATCACCTTCGGATGGCATCTTTAAGCCCATCTCCAACAAGATTCTATCACCTCTCCAAATGGCATCTTTAAGCCCATTCCTCCTATCATCGAATCGCCAAGTGCAAATTTCTGGACACTCTAGTGTCCAATCATCTTCGACCTTTGAGTCACGAATGGCAGAACTCGCCAATCTAACTCTTCAGGTTTAAGAAGATTGAACAGGGGCAGCTGTTGTACCCCAAAATTTGCCCTCTCATTTCTCAAGGATTTTCTCACAAGATCTTTTACGACGTCAAGTTTGCAGCACTGATACATCAATTTAGGCTTGAAATTAGCTCAAGGGCAAAATGGTCAATTACAACCCAAAAATTAAATTTCAACAAGACATTCAAGAATATCAAGCTTGATCATTAAAAAGTTGATAAAGTGAAAAGTCAACCTGAAAAGTCAAGATTTCCAAGACTTAGAAATTTTCTAAGTGTTTTTTATACATGATAATTCCATCACTTCATGCCATTCTTTCACCAAGATGCAAGACAGTTCAAGGGAAACTTTCAACATGAAAGTTGTAGATCTCCATGATATCTACAACATTTCTTTACATAACTTCTCCTAGAAGTGCTTGGATTTTGAGTTATAAGTTCATGAAGTCGTGACATTTTCATTTAACACTTAGAGAAATTTTCAACAGATTTTGTTCAGGATTTTATCCCAACTTCTTGGCATTTTTTTCACATAGTTCCAAGATGATTTTGTCAAAATGGCCAATATGAAAGTTATAGAGGGTGTTTCAAGCTTTCCAAAACATCCAAGAGCATGAATGTATCGTATTTGAGCTAGGAGATACAAGGATCTGAAGTTAGACATTCATTCTTGATTTACAAGGCAGATTTGTGATGAACACTTGACTAAAATTCCAACCAAAGCTACAAGATCTCTCTTTTCAGGCTATGTTCTCTCCAAATCTATGCATAATCAAGAAATTACATAAACCCTAAGTGTATTACACAGGCATTTGAAGTTTTGTCCAAGTCTTGATACCATTTATGGTTAGAAATGCAAAAAGCGACATTTCCATTTGCATAAAGCTTCACTTTTCCAACGACTCTCTTCTTTCAAATCTTGAAATCTGTTCCAAAGAGGACAGAAAGATCTCTGAACAGCAGAAGCAATCTACAAGACCTGCAAGGCATGGCTAAAGTTCCTTAATTCACTCCTTTTTTCATCATGAAGCACCTTGTCTTTATGAATTTGAAAAAAGGAATAACATGTGATTTTCAAAAAGTATGAGTTTCTCAAGTCTCAAACCTTCTCTATAAATAGAGAGGCCAGTATCAAGAGAGGGGGGTTTTTAAAAAAGGTTAGAAAAAATAGAGAGAGAGAACAAGGAGAAAATCCAGAAGTTATATTGGTAAACCCTCAAAAATCTCATATTCACAAAAGCCATAACAGTCCATAAAACTTCCACTCTTGGGTTTTAAAGTCCAAACCTTTGACCCTCTCATACCTTGCAAGTTCTGCCCAACCATCCAAACATTTCATACCATACAGAGGTTTTTTAGTAACCTTCAACAAAAAGGAAAGTCTAGCAGCTGGTTGGAGCTTCCTTAAGGTTCATACAACATCTTGAAGGATATTTGGTTTTAAAACCTAAAGTGCAATCTTAAGGTAAGTCATCTTTACCTTGCCTTTTCCATAACATCAACTTTTCTGTTTATAGGATGTATCAATCACTGTTTTGAAGTTAATCATTTATTTGTTGTTCATGTTATTCATTCATATGTTAAAAAACTAACTGATGTATGCAAAGAATGGTGTTTAAGGCAGAAAAATGCAGGATGTATCGATACATATTCACATGTGTCGACCCATATTAGTGAAAATACAGGGTATGAGTCGACACATGACCCTCATGCATCGACCCATACTGAGTTCAGGTCACAAAACAGAAACTAGAAAGGACTATGAGTCGACACATACGCATTTCGCGTCGATGCAAAAATGTGTATGAGTCGACACATCACATTATGTGTCGACTCATACTGAACAGATGTCACAAAACAGAAGCTGTAAAAGCCTATGAATCGATACATACGTGTTTCGTGTCGATACAAGAAGATGCATGAGTCGACACATCCCATTACGTGTCGACCCATACTAAACTAATTTTGTTTTACAGGAGCAGGAGAAGCTATGTGTCGATGCATAGCAGCATGTGTCGACACATAGCAGTTCAAAAATGCATTTTTCCTTTATTCTACATTGTTTTAACCTTATTTTTATCATCATTCGATGTGGTTATAATATTTTAGTTCCTACTTCACCCCCATTGTTAAATTGTACCCCCGTCCCCCTAAAGTGATGTAATAGCTTAGATATTACTTTCCGTTTTCTACTTGCTTTTCATATATTGCTAGTAAATAAGGTGTGTATGGTAAGATAAAACCAACAAATAGGACACCCTAATCAAATAATAAATGCATGTAAATAAAACACATTTGCACACTTACACCCTTAGGGTAATTCCACTTGTTGCCTATCGGAAAATAGTCATGTCCCTCGAACATGGGCGTTTTAGCAAAAGACCCTCGATAAAAGATTGTAGTCCCTCGATGACCCTCGATGTTGCCTTCGGTAAACGATCTAGTCCCTAAAACGACATTGCTAAAACGTCCCATATGTTGCCTTCTATGACTATACAAACGTCCCAACGCCCATCCCTTCAAATCCAACGATGGAGCTTCTTACCAAATCAATGGTAAGATAGCAACATCTAAAGGAGGAGGAAAATCACATCTAAGACCTTTTGAGTAGGTAGGTTCGCTCTCAGTTACTCGCTTGCTCACAATAAAAACATTTTCATACACCCACACTCTCATCTTTGAACTATTTTTGAACCAAACACTTTGTAGGCGTTCTTATAGAAACAAGAACCATTACGAAGTTCTATTTTCAAAATACTTTCAAAAACACATCTCAGAAATACACTTTTGAACTATTTTCGAAACAAACACTTTGTAGGCGTTCTCATAGAAACGAGAACCGTTACGAAGTTCCATTTTCAAAATGCTTTCAAAAGTCACCACCAAAAGCACACACTCAAACAAAAGCAAGTGATTTAAGCAAGTAACTAAGAGCCCATGGAAAACCATGGATGAAAAGGGTGCTAATACCTTCCCTTTTAATAATCTACCCCCCGAACTCAAAAACATCTCTAAAGGTCTTTCCTGTGCTTTTTCACCTTTCCTTTTGGATAAAAGAAAAGTCGGTGGCGACTCTTGCTAACCGCAACATTTGCAAACACAATCGCAAAACCCTCAAGTCAGTTCTCCCACCGTATCACACTAACCATTGCAAAGTCTGAAAAATTCAATCTATATCATAGTTAAAACAACAACTCTAAATTCAAGATTCAACAGAAAACCAAAGGAGATTATAACAATACCTGTTGAAGATGCTTGAAGTATATGAAGAGGAAGAGTAGAGGTTGATCGGAGCTGATTGTACCAGCTGGGAGGAAGCAGAACGCGACGGAGGGAGGTTGCAGACATAGGGAAGTTGTAGACGCAGAGAGGTTGCAGACGGAGGGAGCTGCGGACGGAGAGAGATTGCATTCCGACGGTGGTGACAGATTACAGACGGAGGGAGCTGCGGAGTTAAGAGAGGAAGACGGAGGGAGCTGCGGAGTTGAGAGAGGAAGAATAGTCCGATGGTGGTGTGAACACGGGAGTTCGGAGGCAAGGGAGGAGTGTGGCCGGAGTTGGCTGAGAAGAGAAGTCCAGTGGCGAGGGAGGAGACCGTTCGGGAGGGAGCCTCCTTCTTTTTGTTATATATTTTTTTTTATCAGAGAAAAAAAAAAGAGAATGTGAAAGAGAGGGAAAGTCCAATTTTGGAAAAAAAAATGAGAGCCCCCTTGATTTTGGGAGTAAAATTTGATATATAGTAAATGCAAAAATCCCATGTTTTCAGCTTATTCACCGCTTAAGTGAAAATTACACTATGATCCGTAAAACTTTCCGAAGGCGGAACTGTTGTAAAGATATGTGCCTCTGAGTCACAGAACCAACCCAAAAAGAATGGACATATTATGATAAAAATCGAGTTAATTAGATATGTTTAAGCGGAGAGACGTCACCGTCAAAAAATTAATTAAGTCAAAATATCAGCTTATTTGATCTCTGTCACTCGAACAAGCAACAAGCTCGGGCTCAGAAAATTAGAATATCATCTCAAATTTTCCATAAGAAATATAGATCTACGCATCCCTGAAACTGTGTCATAAAATGAGAACCATCTGATAAACGAGGAATTTATAATGAATTTTCCAGTGGAGCGACGTCTAGTCTTTTTACAGGTACGAACAACTCCGTTTTTCGAAATAAACCCATAACGGAGGTCTTCGGGCTACCTTTCATCTTGATAATATGAAAAAGAATTAAGGAAGACAAAATTAGCAAGCCAACACTTCGATAATAGGCGCGATCCGGTAAAAATTGACCGAGTTATGAGTTTTTGAACATTTGAAGCCGAACATACAGGTACCAAATAATTTCTCAGTAATTCGCAATTTACGCAGCCTTCCTCAAATCATTAGCTCCCTCCCCTGGATGTCCATCAAGAGGATATCAAAACAGAATTTTGGGCACCGAGACCATGCTCATACATGCATCGAGCCAGGAGATATGGATTTTTTAATGTGCAAAAAAACACGGTTCATCCAACTGTTTATCAGTATTTTCCACTATTAAGCTTTGTCTGATTTGTGAATTCGGAGACCTTCCTTCGAGAATTATCATTAGGCCCGAACATGGAAATTGGAGAGGATATCGAGGTGGATTTGATGATGGAAAAATAACCTCGAGACAGTATACGAGATCGGAGTTAGAAATTTTTGAATGCCTGAAACACCGTTGATCGGTAACCTGAAAATTCAGTAATAAAATTATTTGACTGCCTTCTTCACATAATTAGCTACCAGCCCGAACACGAAAAGCGAAGATAATATCAACACGGACTTTGTGATCAAATTATAGCATAAAAAAGTACTCTGACTCGTAGTTAGAAAATTATGAAGTTGACGCACCGAAACAGATTTTTAACCTGAACTGTTCTGAATCAGATCAAACCCTATGGTTCCCTTATATTGCCCAAGACATGACAAAATACACGGGAATAGAACATGGTGACAAACCGTTCTTCAGCTGGTTGAATTTCCTGCACGAAGCCTTTGACGCTTCTGATAAATAGTCGATGCTTTATTGGCATACCTTGATCCTATAGTAACAGAACCCATGTATGTATGCATATGCAGATAAAATATAAGCCAGAAAAATTATGAAATCAAGAGGGTAAATTTTGGGGTGCAACAAGGAGGATCTATGATGCTCACAACTATGGATAGAGAGGATTTCCATCACCCAGTCAACGCATACATAGTGAAAACATGCTTTGCATAAGCAGACCCGGTGAGTTGACTGGCTCAAGAAAAAAAAGGGCATCCCGGAGAACCATAAAAGAGAAATAAAAGGTTTGGTAAAAAGTTAGGGATAAAAAATAAGAAAGGAAAAAGAAACGATGTACACCCGCTAAGCTGAAAATCTTAAAGGGCGGCTTTGGCAAAAAAGGTTATCTCGGTGGATTGAAAACCCAAAAGGGTGATCCAGGAAAAAGTTAGGGATTAAAGCGAATACTACGATCTGCATTGTATCTATGATATCATTCTACACTGCTATTGGTTATCTTGGAAGGATAAGTAATCAGTCTAATCAGTTTGTTCAAAAAGTAAGATACTAAGGAGTTTGAGGTTATAAAGTCATAGCAGAGCCGAGACCCGATTAATCCGCACTCACATTGCCACCTTTTTTTTCTCCTTTGTATTCTTTGTATGCAATTACCTCTTTTAGTAATTTCATCATGATGTCAATGCCTATTTACAAGCCAGTCAATTAATAAAATTCTTATTTTTCAAACTGTGCCAATTTGTTTTCATTTTTGTTGTTTTTTTTTTGCGAAAAGACGTCCATCATTTTTGATAAACTTTGTGTTTAAACATTAAATCTTTACAACACGTGATATCAATATCTTAAATTGCTTAAAGTTTCGGGTGTTTGAGGTGACAGCTAAGGTAACCATCTCATACCCGGGGCATGTTGCTGTGATTTCCACTTTTGCAGGTACTATTGGTCATTTGTGACAAGAAGGGTACCAGTAAATGGGAAAAGAAAGGCCTGGTTGTGGCTAGCATGAGTTTCCTATTGGAAGGGATTTTTTTCTCATAACAGAATCCTGTATCCCCAATGAAGGCGTATTCTCGCCCAGAAAGAATCCTTTATCTCTAGTGAAAACATACCCATGCGTAATCCCCATTGAAGTCGGCATTCTTGACAAGGGTTTGGTTAAGAGTTTGTCCCTTCCAGAGGGTTGGTCTCCAAAGAAGTGCATTTCAGCAAAATTTTGTACAATCTTCTTCTTCATTGCACTATACTAGTTTAAAAGAATCTTAGAAGGACCGTTTCATTAGACTGGATACCTTTTTTATATCCCCTTGAAGTTGATACCCTATGTCTCTGTGGTTGGTATTTATCTCCCTAGTGAGGTTGTCGTTCGTCGTCCCCATGAAGTTCGTATCTTTTACCCTAAGGGAAGTTTGACCCTATCAGGTTTTCTTGAAGAGATGTTTGATCACCATGCTTATTATTCCCTAGTGGAGCAAGTCTCCTATTTTTCTAGAGAAGTGTGCATAGATGAACGCCATTTAGGGCTCTTTTATCCCCAGTGATGAAGTATTGTTGAAATATTTCCTCAGTAGAGTTATGAACCTCAAGCTTATGGTTCAAAGACGCCCTCCTCTTTCCCAAGTAAGGATTGTTACCCCCATCGGTAGTATCCCTAGTGTAGTCTGGGTAGAATTATTTTATTTTATAATTTCTACGATTCTGCAATCGAAGTCACTTTCATTGAGGACTTACACCAGAAGGTCTCAGTTCCCAGCAAGGTTCCCTTTATCCATGGAAAGAGATGTTTGATATGTTCCCCGGGAAGTTATGAGTTGGATCAGATTTCAAGATTTTCTCTGAGCTGCAATTTATTTTTGAGTTATTCTTCCCAGGAAGTTACTTCCCCAATGATATCAATCTTCAGAGGTCGATGGTTCCAAATATTGTTTCCCCATTGATGTTTAGATGGATTTTTCTCTACATAAGTTCAAATGTGTAAAGATAATCATTAGGAAGTTCATGGTCTTCTCAGCAGCCGATTATTGACGTGCTTTCCCCAGTGCATTGCTAAACATGCATCATTACATCACATTTACCAAAACGCGTAGCATTTCCATTATATGGAGCATTACGCTATAAATTTTTTTTAAACATGCATTAAGGTATAAGCCAATTATGTTCATCTGAAGTTACCAAATTGTTATACGCTCAAATTTGAATTATATCCATAGCAAGCTCAGGGTGATCCGATTATATTTCCTCGACAGAGTCTATTTTGATTTACCACTAGTCGGGTCTTTGGTTCTTTCCATTTCCCCAGTGAGTCGTGCTTTTCCCTTGCCCTTGCAAACCCTTTGTTATTTTTACCCATGTTTGCCTTGCCTTCTGAGTGAAACTAAGAGTCGGTGTATAACTTTTCTAATTTCGTGAGTATTTAAGTATCCATGCTTGGTGTATGGTAATTCAGATAATTGTTACTCTTGAAGAATTATACACCGCTTCTAGCCTGAGGGATATTGTAGTTCTTGCGGATTTTAAACCTATCAAAATCCCAACATGTTTTGGAAATCTTTGTTAGAGTCCTATTCGGCTGGTCTCTTTCTTTTGTAGAGTTCACCTTCGGTCAGTGATCACTAAAGGTCTGGCTTAGTCGGTTTCTTGTCTTTGGTATCCGCATTAGTTGGGTTCTCCTTCCGTTAGTTTATCTAACCTTCTCTATTAAGAGTCCTTCAATATCTCTTCAAAGTCCAGTTGTATAGCATCATTGGTTAGGAAAATGCATCCTTTCTTGTTTGGGATTTCTTCGTATAGTCTCTTTCTTATGTTTTCTACCAACTCCTAATATTTGTTTCTTGATGCCCAATTTTGCTTTTGTGTGTCTAACTCTGACCAGACATGCATATCTTTATTCGTTGTGAGTTCGCCTTTGATTGGAATTCTTTTCTTAGGAGTCTACCTTCGGCTTGTATTCCTTGATAAAGATTCCCCTTCGGTTGGTCCCTTTTGTTAAGAGTCCCCTTTAGATGGTCTCTTTTCATTGTAAGTTCACCTTTAATCGGAGTTCTTTCCCCAGGAATCTACCTTCGACATAATATTCTTTGATGAAGATTCTCTTTCGGCTAGTTTCTTTATTTTTAAGTCAACCTTCAGCTGGCACCCTTTAAAACCACCTTCGGCTGGTACCTTTTGTTAAGAGTCCCCTTCGGTTGGTTTCTTTTCATTGTAAGTTCGCCTTTGATCGGTGTTCTTTCCCCAAGAATCTACCTTTGGCATAGTATTCCTTGTTAAAGATTCCCCTTCGGATGGTTTCTTTATCATGAAGTCCACATTGTAAGTTGTTTTGTGATTGTAATTAGTTGATTATAGTGGATTAAGTCCTTGTTGAGAAAGGCGAAATC